ACCGGAAAAACTAATAAAGATGTTTAACGATAAATCAGCGAAATGTTGGAAGTGTCAACAAGCAATAGGTTCCTATTATCATATGTGGTGGGCATGTGCAGAAGCAAGGAAATACTGGACTAAGATAAGAGTATGGCTAAAGAAAATGTTACAACAAGAAATAGAATTTAGACCAGATATATAGAGTTTGTGTTTAAGTGGGTTGCGTTTAAGTGGATTTGTCACTTCTCTTCTTTCTCCTTTCTGTCCAAATTATTTCAAGCAAATGGCTCTCTTTGGAGGTAGTCATTCAACCCTCCATTTTTCCTCCATTTTCTTTCTTTTTGCAAAAATCCTGATCTGTTCATCAATATTATTTATGTGCTCAAGATTCTTTGCCTTTTCCAAATTCTGGTTTATAACTGTGGGTTAATAGATCTTACTAATCTTTCATCTCGCCTCTGCATGCTCCTATTCAGCTGCTTTGACCTGGAGCCAGCTCTTGTGCAACCAAAAACCAAAAGCACTTTTGGGACAATCACGACCTGGTTGACTGAGAAGTCTACATACATTTCATATTATTATAAAGCCTGTTTCCCTTTCTTCTCCAACAGGGTTACAGCATGAAGGTATTTATCGGAAGAATGGAGCAAAATCTCGTATCCACATTTTGATGGAGGAGTTCCGACGAGATGCAAGAAATGTCAAATTGCATATCAGTAACAATTTCGTTGAAGATGTGACAGATGTGTTGAAGAGATTTTTTCGGGAGCTTGAGGATACTATCTTCACTACATCTTTACATCCGCAGTGGAATAGAGCCACAGGTTTCATCCTTCTTTCTTATACTGCCCTACTTTATCAAGCCTTTTGGATCTTATTTGATTGACTGTATTACTTAGTTCATTGCGAAACTGCCATTCTCTTGAATCATTGTCTTGAGCCTCCAAAAATTATACAATTTATCATTTTATTTATTTTTTGCATTTAAAAAAATATTTTAAATACAAATAATACAAACATAGAGGTCCAACCTAAAACTAAGGATAAATTTTCTGACAGAATAATTAATTGTGGAATGGCTTTCCTCTGGAAGTTGTTCATGTTCTATCACTGAAGGTTTCCAAGAAGAGATCAGACAGCCATTTGTTCAGAATGGTATATGGTTTCCTGCTGGAGTAGGGGTTTGAAGATCTCCAAAGTCCCGCCCAACCTTATTATTCTATCTTCCCTGTCAGCAAAAAAAATATGTACACAGTCTTAATTAAAGTTGCCAATGCTTGCTTTAAGTAAAATACCTTGAGGGCTTATAAATCTTCAATAAAATCTTCAATAAAAAAGTGAGGGCTAGGTGGGCAAGATTATTCACTGACAAAACAGAAATAGGAAAGAAAGAAAAAATAGAACTACTGTGTATACTTTGTCTTAAGAAGTAACCTGAATCATCAACAGATAACACAGAAGAAAATTCTGAGGAACTGTATGTGTCTTCCACAGTCCACTTCTAAACAATGCACACATAGAAACCTTGTTTTCTGAAACCCATTTTATTTGTCTCTTGGTCACTACACTTGAACCAATATATCTTGCAGAAAGAGAAAAACCACAAACTATATGGTGAACGTACCTCAAATTTCTGATCAATGTAGGACATGTTTTGATTTTATGCAAACTATATTCAATAAAATTTAATTCTATGTTTCTCTTTCTTAGAAATTTCCCAGAAGCCCCAGCGCCTGGAGAGATACAAGGAGCTAATGAACTGCTTGCCCCATCTCAACCGCAGAACTTTGGCTGCTTTGATTAGCCACTTGTATCGGTTAGTCTGTTTTCCCTCACTTGTTCCTGTCAGAACTCTCATGGCATATTCTTTTTTAAAGTGCCCCTTAGATATACTGATACATTTGTTTCAAAGACTAAGACCTCAGAATGTGAAATTTGAGCTCTGTAAAAAGAAAGAAATCAAGGACAATAAACAGCAAAAACAAAAAACTAATACTTTTATAGTGTAGTTGTTGCTATGCTTGGTCTTTTGAACCTTAGATTTGAATCTGTTTCCCAGGTCCATTTTTATTTTCTAAGACCCAAATCTGTTTCCCAAAGCCCTTCATGTTTGTTTCTAAAAGATTTGCCCCCCCCCCCCTGCTGCTGCAATCAACAATTGAATTGTTAGCAGTCATAAATAAATTCAACCAGATTAAAATAATCAAATCTACAATATCTAATGGCAATATGTACAGTGGTGACAGGTCTTACTCCCAAACGCTTCCAGTTTTCAAACATTTCCAGAAGGCCAACAGTAATGCTACCATTACTTGAAAGGAGAGCTATAGGACTTTATTGGTTAAAACCACCACTTTGAATTGTATCTTGACACTTACTGTTAGCCAGTGTAGCAATTGTAAGATATATGATAACAGTAGTTACATTTGCCAAAACTATGACTTTTTGGACCAAATGCCATATTCAAGTAATCCTCAAAGGCAGCCCAATATACAGTATATCACATTGAACTAATCCAACCATATGGTAGTAAGTGTCTCCTGTCATAGGGAAGATACATAGAGATGAAGAAAGTGCCCCCTGCTAAAGCTTTCATCTTCTAATCTATCAGGAGCTGTAAATTTAAGGAAACCTCCATATCACATAACTCCTCTTTCAAGAGCAAGTCCAATGCTTCAGAATTATGTCTGAAGCAGATGAAGATTTGTATAGATAATTACTTCATCTTGCTAGTATTCAACTTCCAGGCCTCAACCGTCTCTAAAAAGTTGTTCAAAATATTTCTGGCTTGGCCCAAGTTGAGAATATAAAGCTGCCTATCATCAGCTCAACCCAAACAGATTGATTAACACATACAGATGTTTTATGTAAATGTTAAAACAGCAGGTGGAAAAGCATTGAGCTCCATGAGACCTCACAAATGTGAGGTTACTGACTGATCTATCCTTCCTCATTACTAACTACTGATACCATCGGCTTAGAGATACTTTTGCTTCAGTGCTTCTGTTTCATTCTAAGATCAAACTCCTTCAGTTGATGCTGAATGATATTGTGTTATCGAACACTCCTGAGAAGTCTAAAAGGACTATAAAGATGTATCCTCCCATCCAGGTCTCAAAAAAAAGCATGTTTCCATCCCATGATTGATACTGAATCCAGACTGAAATGAATGTAGATAGCCTACTTATTCAAGAGCACCATATAAACTGACTCTCCATCCTTTCTTGTTGATAGTTATACCTAGACTTCTATTTGCAAGTGTGCCAGACCCTGCAGTTTTCCCTCTCATCACTGCCTCCCTGATTGGACACAACTTTTAATTGGGTCTCTTTTGCTCTCCACTGTAGGGTACAGAAATGTGTCAACCTCAATCACATGAGCACCAAGAACCTAGCTTTACTATTTGCTCCCAGTCTCTTCCAGACAAATGGAAAAGGGGAACAAGAAGTCAAGGTGATAGAAGATTTGATTGACAACTATGTTCATATTTTTAATGTGAGTCTGGGTCTCCTTCCCCCTGTATCATTAAACATTTGTATTATGTGTATTTTACTGTAGCTTTTCTTTTACTCTAGATTGATGAAGACCAGTTGTTACAGATGGACTTGGAGAATAGTTTGATTACTACCTGGCAGGATGTGAAGGTACTCTAGTGCCTACTATCCTTCCCTTTTTTGTATTGCTTAGCAGATATATTGACAACATCAGAATAATAGATTAACAGAGTTGGAAAGGACGTAGCAGGGGTGGGATTTAACCAGTTCAGACCAGTTCGGGTGAATCTGTTATGATTTTGCACAGTTCAGAGAACCAGTAAAATCGACCACCGGATAGCCCACCCACCCCGCCTAGCACGCCCCTGCCCGCCCTGCCCTTTATATTACCTTTTCTTTGCCACACGGTCCAGCTAATCTCCTCACCTGCTCTGCTCACCAAAGGTAAGAATGCCCCCTGCTCACTCTTTGGCTCGGGTCAGGGCCTAGGGCCATGATGGTGAACCTATGACATGCGTGGCATGCGGTGGCACATGGAGGCACGCGGAGGCACGCGGTGGCATGCAGAGGCACGCGGTGGCACATGGAGCCATTTGTTATGGCATGTGAGGCATTGCCCTGTCAGCTCCAGCAGGCATGCACGCGCTGGCCAGCTGACTTCGGCCTTTTTTTTTTCCTGTTTTTTTGCCCTCCAGAGCCTTCAGGAAAGCCTCCCGAAGCCTCCAGAGGGTGAAAAATGGCCCTAATGGCCAATGGCTTTTTGCACTCCGTAGGCTCTGAAGGGCTCCTGAGGGCCTCCAGGGGGCAAGGAGGCCGTTTTCACCCTTCCCAGACTCCTAGAAAGCCTCTGGAGCCTGAGGGTGGGGGGGGGCAAAAAACGGTCCATTGCATGCCAAAAGTGGGGGGGAGAGCGGGGGTCACACACACATGCACACAGGGAGTTGCATGCATAGCATTATGGGTGTGGGCATGCCTGTGCACGCCCCCCCCCCGATGCTCCCCCCACTTTTGGCATGAGATCTGAAAAAGTTTAGCCATCACTGGCCTAGGGACACACCATTCCCTGGCTCCAGCCTTGTCCCAGAAGCTCCACCTGCTCACTGCCTGCCTTGGCCAGGTCATGGAATGNGCAATGCAGGTAGAATTAAAGCAGTAGTGACCCCTCCCATACAAATTATAACCAATACACAAGTGTGAAGATGTTTCCTTTATCAACTGCCCTGAGAGCCGAATAAACATACATTCCCATGGCTATCTTCCATTAGGCATTAAAGTAAAACACCCCGCACAGCCATCATAAACATTCCCCAAAAGGTGGTGGGATCTCCGGCCTTTTGGCAGCAGGAAACCAGTTGTAAAATATCAGTTGTCCCAGGCATTGCCAATAAATTGACTCCAAGGCCCCCCTCCTCCCAATTGAATATTGCAGTATCGCATTTAGGGATCCAACAATTATCCTGCATGGGCAAGAAAATAAAGCATAAGAATGTGAACCTTGATTTCACTATAAGAAGGCCTGTATTTGATATACAACAGTTGCTAGAGTTCTTTTATAATATCTTAATAACTTTTCTACAGTAATTCTTTATCAGTGTATGCATTGTTGGAAAACTGAGCCAGTTTCTTAACCAGCACTTTCAATAAACTGATAGAACCTTAGAATGTAAGAATTGGAAGTGACCTTGGAGATCATTTAGTCCAAACTTTTGTGTGGGACAGGAATCCACTATTTCAGTATCCCTGACAAATGCCATTTATGCCACTGAAAAGTCAACTACCTCTGAATATTTGATTCATTTGTTAAATGGGTCTTATCATTTGGATTTTGTGTGTGTGATGCTCCACTGAAATCTATTTCTTTATCCGCTTCTTCTATCTTCTGCAAACAAATATGAACAATGGCTTTCATGTACTTAAAGATTGCTATCATGTGCGACCACAGCCGTCTTCGGGCAAATTATCCTCAGCACCTTCGAGTGTTCTTTTTCAGTTTTTCCTTCCAGCTATATCTCACCTTGCTTCCTCTTCTCTGGACATGCTCCACTATGTGTTCTCAAACCTGGACACAATCTTTTAGGTGTAATCTGACCAATACAGAAAAAAGAAACACAACTATTTATGTCGACACCACTCATGTGTATGGTCCAGTGGTGGGTTTCAAAAATTGTTGGAACCTACTCTGTGGGTGTGGCCTCCTTTGTGGGAGTGGCTTGCCACCCATGTGACCAGATGGGAATTAGAATTAGAATACTTTATTTGTATGCCGCCCTTTTCCCTGAGGGGACTCAGGGCGGCTCACAATTCAGAGGGAGGGAAGGACAAAACAAGTTACACACATAAAAGACAATACATCGTTAAGAAACGCAACAGTCATACTATTCGGGTGGGGTTGAAGTCTTTAGCCCCAGGCCTGTCGGGACAGAAAGGATTTAAGGGCTGCGCGGAAGGTCCAGAGGGTGGTG